AGATGTTTATTCTACATGTGCATATATGGAGAAAAGAATATAGTTACTTTATGGTCCATTTACTAAATGCCAACCTACCCCACCCCCTATTCACCCAACCTCTGGAACTCAGACACTTTACAGACTCAAAATGTGAGTGCCTGCCAGCAAATCAGCAGAGCCTCCACCATCCATTTGGTGATCCTGAGACTACAGAAAACAGAAATTAGAGAAGTTTTTTCTTACCAGGACATGTCTGAGGGTTGACCCAGGGCAGTGCTAGACAAGTCTGTGCTCCAGATGGCTTGCCAGAAAGGTGCCTATCACAAGGCAAAGACAAGCCAAAGCTAGAGGACTTTAAATGGAAGCTAATTCACAGTGCAAAAGATGCTTCTAGAATGTGTGAAGTGGAAGGGACTGGGAAATATGGACCTACAGTTCTTTTTATTCATAAGCAATGTAATCATATAAACAGAATAAAGAAAGTGAGTGAATGAGTGGAGGATGTTTTCAGTTGCCTTGGTTATTATTCCATGCACATTTACATTGTCTAAAGGAGAACACTTCTTTTATTTTCTTGAGGGGGGCAGATCTTACTATGGAGCCAGACTGGCCTTAAACTCTCCATCCTCCTGCCTCAGCCTCCTTTCTGCAGGCATGTGCTCACCTTGAAAATATTCTTAAATAGTTCTTTTACTACCAGTTTACAAACTAACTGCTAACAAAATCATTTTATGTATGATTTAATCATTTTATGTATGATACATTTAAGAGCTGAAACCAATCTTTTTCATGCTGGTGTTTGTGTTCCCTGCTTTGTGTTCAGATGTCTGAGAAGCAGGCTAGAGAATTTCCCCTAAATACATCCATTTGTATATTATAACCCATTCTGTTCTTTACCATCCAGGAAGATTTTTTTTCCCTGTTGAACATGTCATCATTTTAATTTTTTCTCTCCTAATATTAAAACTGCAAGGAATTCATCTCCAAGCCACACTTGCAATGAATGCTTACAGATAAGGCTTATACTAAATTGTGTCATTTTAAGCCTCTTCCAAATAGCATACTTATAAAAAGAAGGCTTTTGCTTATGAAATGACATTTGTTTATAACTCGATATAGGTATTATAACTATAGCTGTCTTCTCTGAATCCTGGAGGCTGTATATAGTATAAGAATACATTTTTGTCGTTGGCTCCCTAAAATTCAAGAAAAATATATTACTCTTAGATTATTTTATTAAACTGAACCCTTGAGAGGATTTTCAGAGGGAACTATTTTTCCAATGTCATCTTAATAATCTTTTTGAGACTTGAAAAACCCCGATGTTTCTAAGCCATCTTATCCTCATGGTGGCCTCTCTTTGGCGCCTCTGTCATATCTCCTCTCTTACCTCTTCCATGTTTCTGTTTGCAATGAGGAAAATAAAACCCAGAAAACACCATCCTCTTAATGGACTGTCGCCCTGCATACATCAGGGATTTCAGCTGTTCAGAGTGCGGGAACAATGAGCAGGGATGTCAGATGGCAGAAGACTGGAACTGTTAACGCAGTAAATACCAGGGAAGCTGAGAGTGTGGCCAGCGCAGCTGAGGGAGGAGGGGTGAGAGGCACAGCTGGGAGAGCCAGCCAGAGAGAGGACACCAGAGACAGGCGGAGCTTCGCCAGGGGGGCAGCAGCCTGCACCAGGAATCCCGAGAAAACAGGAGTGGGACACCCATGTCTCCATATCGTGGACCACTACTTTGTAGCTGCCACTACTGTACTTGCTAAGCCACTGAGCACATTTAATACAGTTGTCTTGTGTGACTGCTGAAAAGGATTGAATATTGAAATGTAATGAACGGAAATATGTGTCCTTTGAGGAGGATCCCTATTTTATTGTTAATTTATTAAACTCATAATGGAATGCCAAAGGATTAATGGGAAGTAATATGCATCAGTTTATGGATTTTTTTAACCAAAAATCTATCAAATTGCCGACATTTATCATTTGGACAAATTGGGGATGTATATAATTAACTGGATTAATAGCTGATTTAGTAGGCATATCCCGGGGGAACTGATTAATAAATTGTTCTACCTAGCGGGAGGTTCTTGGGGTTTCATCTTAAATCTGTCTTTTCAACATGAGGCTCATATGGACAAAAGTCTATAACGCTGATTAAAACTGGAAAAGCAGAAATTGGGAACATTCTGACCTTTAACTCAGTAGTGCAAAGCTGAGAACGCCTTGGGAGCCGGGTAAGCAGCCTCTCCCCAGTTAAACTGCAAAAGGTCAGTAAGGAGAGATGGGGCTTCTCAACAGCAGATTTGAAGGAAGTTTACATTTTGTTATAGTTAACACCTATATACCACAGCATAATGTAGCTGGTAAAAAGCTGCTGTAACCGTTAGCTCTCTGAATGCAAAATGCAGACAAATGCAAGTACTGTACCACTCTTGACCAGTGAAGAGCTACTTCCTGTGGAGAACTGCCTTTGAACTTGCTCAAGGAAAAAAGAAAACCAGAAAATGGAGGCTTTAGCCTCAGGAAGTCACTTCCTGCCTTCCCTCTTTCCTCACCATTTGTTTTTCTTACACTGTCTCACTGTCCCCAAAACTAAACTGGCTGAGACTAAAGCAGGAAGTACTTAGGATGTTTAACTCTTCCCAGTCCAGTGGAGCACATCACTAACCACAATCGCCTATGCCCTGCCCACAGTGGAGTCTTGCTCAATGCTAGTAGAATATGTTTGTTCAATTGTAATCTCCCTTGCTGAGATGGTATTGCCACAGTCTCACCACTGAGATGACCGTCAGCACCATCCAGATGATCTTAACTGCTACCGAGACTCAGGACCTGGTACCCGGGAATGACTCCCAGGCTTCCATGCTATTAACACAGTTTTCCCCAAGTCTCGGCTCATTCTCCTCCTACGTATCTAAGTACTGAGCACACAGTGAATCACAGTGGCTGGAATATAGTGAGCCCTTAGCATCTATTTGCTAATTAAGTGATTTTTAAAATCTCTGTAGAGTGGAGGATGTTGCTTAAAAGAAAGCCAGTGTTATTCAAATTCAAATTCCTTGATGATAAAGAAGGGAATTATATACCACGTTTATGTTACTAAATTAACTGACAGACTGTACAGTTTTATATCAGGCTCTTCAGTCACATCTAGTAATAAAGAATTCATATTGGGGTGTGTGTGTGTGTGCGTGTGTGTGCGCGCATGTGTGCGCGCGTGCATGTGTGTGTGTGTAGATTGAACCTAGATCCTTGAGCATACTAGGCAAGTGTTCTACCACTAAGCTATATCCCAAGCCCTGAAATATCTCTAATATGCATTAATAGAACCTAGCATTTTAAGAAAAAAATTGAACTAAAGTCATTTGTCTTAGATAATCAAATCTTGCTTATCTGTCTAATTCAAGGTAGTTCTCTGGGCTTGTGCATTGACATAGAAAAGCCAAGAGGTTTGCTGTTAGAATACACATCTAAAAACATCTGGAAGGCCGGAGTTTAGGAGGAGGTTTGATTTGAAAACTACTGAAAGAGCAGAACAATAGCTGGGAATTCGTTTGCCTATGAGTGCTTCACCCAGTGAAGTCCTGTCCTCCCACTTGGCATGATTGACAGAGAAAGACCTGGATTTGGGTTGGAGAAAGACAGCCCATGATTGTGTGTTGTGCTCTGTTCTTTTTAGGTTTATTTTAGAAATAAGCAAATAATAATGTAGCTGCATACAATGGCAAACTAAAGGCAGCGTTTCTCACTTGACAATCGGCAGGGGAAGTGTAGATGTACCTTAAGATAATATAAATAACCTGCTGGTGCTGCAGCAGAGGAAAGCAATGCCCAGATGATAGTATATTCAAAGGAACATCAACAGATGCACATGTGGAAGACTCACATCTATTCATGTTTTTATGTTGAAAAACAGGAATTGTGCCCCAGTCTTAGTCAACTTCCAGAATATTCTCCATATGTGTGAATCCAGTCATTCATTCATTCATTTGTCCCTTCCATTCCTTTCCCCCTTCCTTCTCACACCATCCCATCATGGCATCTTATGTAATGTAAATATTCAGGGGCTGGAAAGATGGCTCAATGGTTAAGAGCGCTTGCTGCTTTTGTAGAGGTCCCATCCGGTTCCAAGCACCCATGCCAAGCAGCTTACAGCCACCTGTAACTCTAGCTCCACGGGGTCCAACACCCTCTTCTGGCCTCTGCAGACACACACACACACACACACTCACACACACACACACACACACACCCTCCCACACATGTCATATACACACATAAATAAAAATAAATTTAAAAAGTAAATCTTCAGTACAGGAGAGATTTGTTAAAGGGAGAACAGGGAACCAGAGAGGGAAGGGAGGACGGAGACAAGCTGGACACAAGTAAAGTAGACCCACAGGCAGGATAAGAGAGCTGATGAATCAGGGTAGATTGCGGGAGTCTTCCCTGTGGTTTCCTCCATTTCTGAGCATCTTTCCCATTTCCACAATGGGGTGATGAAGGAAAGACAGACAGTTAGATCTTCACACCATTGAGTAGTAATGTTCACAGTACACCAGCGTCTCCTCCCCATAAGAAGTTTTCAGAATTGAATTACAGCTTGCAAAAAAGCATAAATGTTCTTTTCATATAAATCATTTTTTATCTCAAATGTTAACATTAGCTAATAGTTACTTGAGCTTTAATACTAACAGTAACACAGGTTTATTTATCATAACACAGGTTTATTTGTCGTAAACTTGGAAGAATATGGAAAAAGCAGTAAATTGGTTTATATTTGATCAAGTACTAACTTGACTGTTATTTCAGAGAAAAATTGGTGTTTTCAATGCTGTTTGTGCTTTTGCCTTTTCAGGAGTTGAAACTTTGCAGTTTCTTTAGGAAGGATGTAAAGCTCAGTGTTTGGCATAAACATGCCAGCATTTTTACAGTGAACTGGGCAAGTGTCTTTCAGAGCCTATCCATCTGCCTTTCTCCCATAACAGTCTTTCTTTCTTTTTGGTTATAGGCCAAGAAAGAACAGAGACTGTCATCATAACAGAATTAGAAAGGGACACATTACCAGAACTGGAAATACTTTTTTTGATGACCATTTCGCCAAGGTAAATATTACCATTTCAGCAAGAAGGGAGCACATGGTTAGCGTTGTCAGATGGTAATGTGACAGCACAGAGATTTGATTGTCTAGTCTGATGCAGACTAGGGCAGTGTGAGTATAAGGGGAAAAGGGAAAGAAAGGAGGGCTGTCAGGGCTTCCTGCAGCCTGCTAAATGTGTCACCAAGAGAGCACCATCACACCCTGGGAGATAACAGGGCTGGTCAGCAAATGCGTGGGAAAAAGAGAAACAAGCCAGTGTGTTTAGACCGAAAATAGCATTTCTTCCTTTGTGAGGAAAGAGTTGAGTGAGTCTCATTAAAGGTTAAAAAAGTAGATATCATGGGGGGGGCACTTATATTTTTATATCAACTAAGACTGACAATGAAGAAGAGTTTGAGGAAACCTGTGTTCTCTAAAAATGCCCACTTTAGTAAGCAAAATGCAAAATGCTTTACAAAGGTCTCATTTTGGAAGGTCACATCCTTAACACCTCTTGTAGAGATGGGAAGTAGAGGGGGAGACAGAGACACAGGCCCTCGAGACCCAAGGGAAGTCATCTTGGGTGTCCAGAGGAGTACCCCCAGGCTCTTCCTTTATGAATCATGAGCTTAGAGGCACCAAGGCTTAATGGAAGCAAGAGTCCACACTCAGCTTCAGCCTTCGTGAGTCAGCAGCCAATATCTTAACACAAACTGCTGTGTCGTTTCTATGAAGTTCCCCTGTTGCTGTTTAGTTTGTAGCAAAAGGCTCCTTTGGCTAAGCCCTGAGATTTTTATCTGATGAAACGCTTCCTTCTTTCCTTACAAAAATATCTGTGCAGCCATATCCTCAGAAATGTAACTGTGCACAACCCGATTTAAATGTAATTGTCAGCTTTCTCCATTTAGAAGTTAATGTGTGGTTGGCATTATTCCACCGTTGATGTTCTGGAAGGCAGTTTCAGATGAGCAAAGAGAAAGTTGGGTTCTCTCCTCAGCCTTCTCCTGGCTGTTCTCTTCTGAAGGGTTTGTGGGGGTGTAGGCTGTACGTTCAAGGAGAATTTCGTGATACTATTCATTCTCTGCTCTGACAGAGAGGACATTGTTTGCTCACTGTAATAGTCTTGGCAGGAATCTGTGCTGTGCATACAGAATGGGAAAATAGCAGAGCAGTGGGAAACCTCAGAATTCTAAGGAACAGATCAGCTTGGGGATTTTTAAAAATATATTTTAATAGCTTCTCATTACAGAGATGCAAGTCATAATTTGGGGAAATGGTTTTCCTTTCAGTGATTTCTTTCTTCCTACTGCATTATGCATGTATTACATGAAAAAGGTCCTTAAGAGAGCACTGTGCCTGTCTAAATACTGTACTGGTGAGAATGAAAATCCTAGAACTTTAGAAAGACTTCTTCACAAGCCAGACCACATTTGCTGTTACTCCGTACACATTAGCACTCATGTCATCAATGAATGTTAACCTATGCTCGGTATCTGGGACTCATGGAAGCAAGTATGTGCTGCCGGAATAAGAGAAAAAACAAATTTGAAGATGTGCATGAGGTATGAGGTGCATGGCTGGGGATGTGTGAGAGGGCACCACACCCACGGTATTCAGAAGGAAACATTGAAAACCTGTGCAACTTGCCTGGAGACTGCAGGGGCAGAAATACAAAGCATGACTGAGGCCCAGCGTTCCTGCTTCTGGAAGCTGTGTGTCCCCACCTGTCCCTGAACACAGAGACTACTCTGAAGGACACTGGTCCTTCATAGCCCCAGCTGTTGGTGAACTTCATACATAAGCATGTGTATGCATAGTTCTGTACCTTATAGAGCTGAAAAAGATGTTTCAAAGGTACAGGCTCCTGCATTCCCAGGACATGTGACCAGAACAGCCTGCCCAGAGCAGCCCCAGGGCTAGAGTGCAGAAGTTTAAAGCCCCTCATGCTCAAGCAGTAAGATTGCTCATTACTCTTGCCTTGTAGTAACACACACACACACACACACACACACACACACACATAAATATTTCTCAAGTTCTATACTGTATAAATCATGAGATTTCTAAAATTACAGTTTATGATACTATCAGGCCATTATATTGTTGCAAACTCTTCTGGGCTTTTTATATAACCTATGTAAGAATTCACCTTATACAACTAAGTAAGTGGTTTTACTTCACCACTGGTGACATAATTAATGTACATTAATTTTTTGTTGTTTTTAAACTTTTCAGTCATTTAAAACATTTGTGTGATAATCTTTTTGAAAATATATTTGTATTCCTTGTTTTTAATGTATAGGGATAGGGTGTGGGGTAAAGCACAGTGAGTGATACAGCTCTTACCTCACATCTGTGTGGAACTAGGTTCAATCCTTAGAATCACAAACAATAATAATGAATAATAATGATGATAACTAAAATTAGACAAAGAAACAAAGAAGTATATTTATATGACACTGTTTGCAAGTGATTATCAAAGAAACCAACAAAAAGCAAATAGGGTTTTAACCAACCGTTTTCTCTTCCTTTTTGTTTCTGGTTGAAAATTTTTGGCTTGTTTTTCATGTAAATTTTATTGTGTGTAACAACTGAGTTAAGGATTACTGAGGGCATGAGGTGGGACATGACATTAGAGGAGAGCTTCTTGGAAGGTTGGGGCCAGCCTCTCCTGCCCCTGCCAGGAGTTCTGTGGCAGTGCTTCCTGGGCAGCAGGAGTGGTGGCCCCTGCCTACAGGGGACCTGCTGGCCCACAATGACTCTGGAAGCCATGGCTGCCCCACCCATTCATTCCTGTTGGTCTGGAATCTCCAGTATCACTGGACTCCAAGCCTGAGCATTATCAAATGCTGTTGACAGCCTAGTTCTCCATACCTGTGAGCGTAACTCGCCACAAAACAGTTGGGGGCTCAGAGGCAGCTAGATCTGCAGAGGGATCCTTATAACTGCTAAGCTGGTGCTATCCTGAGGGAGGAGAGTAAAGTTCTTGTGTGTAAAGGTCTTGTCTTTATATGTCATCTTTATCCACAATGAAGGAAATGTGTATTGAGGGAAGTTGCAACAAAACCTGAATGATTTTGTTTTATTTAACAGGCACATTGTGGCTCCTGAAAACAGTGGGGCAAGCACTGATGTAAGCACTTGGCAGGCATTAGGCTGTCATTTGCATGGCTACCGTAGGATGATTATTAGGATTCCCATTTTACTAAAGTGAAACCAAAGCTTAGAGAGGCTAGAAACATGACTGCAAGGGAAGAGTCAGCATTGGTGTCTAATGACATCTATAGGCTGACATTAGGGTTCCATGTGCCCTACCACAGAGGCCCCTGGGACAATACCATAGTGTGGTAGATAGCTTCTGTTGTCAACTTGACACACCTGGGAAGAGGGAACCTCAATTAGGGAATATTCTCTATCCAACTGGCCTGTGGCTATGTCTATGAGGCATTTTCTTGATTGTTGATTGAGGTAGGAGGGACCCAGCCCACTGCTAGTGCTATCACCCCCAAGCTGGTGCTCCTGAGTTGTACAAAGAGCAGGCTGTGCACACACCAGAGGAGCAAGGCTGTAAGCACTGTTCCTCCATGGTCTGTGACTAGTTCCTGCCTCTAGGTTCCTGCCCTGACTTCCTGCCCTGATTTCTCTCAATGATGAGCTGTGATTGGCTCATGTAAGCCAAATAAATCCTTTCCTCTTCAACTTGTTTTTGGTCATTGTCTTATCACAGCAACAGAAAATAACTAGGACACAGAACTAGGTGCTCAGCTGCCACCTTCCTTTGAGTCTATAAACACATAGGCACCACAGAGGCATGCACAGCACATCACATCACATCATCATGTTTGGAAACATACAATCATCTGATGGTGTTTACTTTTGTAGAAGAATAATTTATAACCCCCTTGCTCCTAGAAATCAAAGTGGGCACAAGCTAATGCTGCATTGGAGAACAGAATTCCAAGCAGTTCCTTCATGGTCTTCACAGTGTGCAGTGCCACAGGGTGCACACACAGGATTCCCCACAGGGCCAGGAGGAAGGCCCAGCAAGATTATTCGATTTCTTCCTTAACACCTTTCTGTTTCTGGGTCCTGAACCCCACAAGGCAGTGTGACCTGACACTACTAAAAGCATCCTAGTTAAAGCTGATCTTTCAGGAGATGAACACTTGCCATTTCTGTCTCCCAACTGCTTCCTGAGATCTCGTTTTAACTCAGAACTTCCCAAGGTGTGTCCCAAGGAATCTTAATGGATGCCACTTCCCAACCATGACACCAAAGAGAAGAAAAAAAAAAATGTTTTCTTTATAATCAGATCTGTTTTACAGACATGAGTTAGACAGAATTAAATTGATTCACTTGTTATAAGACTTCTCAGAATTTTCCTTTGATATTAGAGCATGATGTAGAGTTTCCTAAGCAGAATATTCTCTCAGGCAGGGAGAAATGTTTATCAGTATCTCCTTCACAGTGCCATCTTCAGAAAAGGAGAGATAAGAGAATCTCATGGCACAGGAGGCAATCATATGCTAACAAAAAATCATAAGCTCCCTTTGGGATCACTGCCTTCCAGACAGCTTTTAAAGCAATAGCCATTGGGACCTGGAGTTTCTCATCTGTGAAATGCAGAAGACAGAACTGGATTATCTCTAAGCTCTTTGCATCTTTATGCACTGGTGACTGTTTCTAACCTGCCTTATTCTAGAAGGGCTTTGAGTACAAAACATAACACCGAGAAATGAAAACTAGGGAGTAAAATGAGGCATAAGAAATAAAATGAGGGAGAGGTGGAGGAGGGAGATTTGTGTGCAAAATTCTTTGCAGTTGATGTGATAGAACCAATTTTGTTCTATGCTTTTTAATGAACAATCGGAAAAGGGAACTATGTTCATTTCTTCATGATTAACAAAGTCCTAGACCCAAACAATTCATATTCCCAGGAGAGACAACTGTTCCCAGTCTTGAGACCAAATTCTTCCCATGATCTTTTAGGCAATGATGCTGACCCTCTTGCAAGATACAGCAGAT